GCTGCATCTGAGGGTTTTTGGTGCGTAGTGAGCATCATCACCTCGTTCTGATCATTTGTGATTCCATGGAGTTTGACTTCATAAAACGGATTTTCTTCTAAAATTTCAAGGACTTCCTTGATAAGCTGCATGAAAATTTTTGCATTTTGAGGTTTTTTTTTTCTTTTTTTCTTGTAGTCCTATCCTTATTAAATTGTTAATTACGTGCATTTTTTTTTTTGCTGTATTACGATTTCTAGTACATATGTGAGCGTACAATATCGCTACCTGATCCAAAAAGAACCATGATTCTTTTGCTGTTTGCCATAGTAATACATTGTAAAATTTTTTTGTTAATAAATCATTATTTTCTTTGTGCTGTTCTAATTAACAATTAGTTGCGAACTTCGCTGTGTTTCCCCTTCCCTCTTCCCTCTTTTATCGCTGTAACCTTTCTTATACCAGTCATAAATTAGCAGCTTCGCAATTGCTGTGCTGGTGGTGACCAGTTACGACGTTGAATTCTGAAATTTCCAGCTGAGCTAAAACTACACAACTTAATGGACCGAAACGTCTTATCTCTGTATTTTAGTTTTCTAACGACGATCAGTTGCAACGCTAAATCAAAAGCATACAGCTTGATGGACCGAAACCTCTTAGCTCTGTACTTTGTCTTTTATCTCACCTCCACTTCCTCCTTTCATTTGGCTCGTTCTCGTACACTTTCCAACGATTCGCACGCATTTGGGTATTTGCGCTCGGGATCCACATTCAAGCCGTTACATAGCGTCTAGCAAACTCCGGGTTGTGTTGAGACATCAAAAAAGTGAGCTGAAGGACAGGACGGTACAGACGGCTCGAAGTACAGTGTATCCAGCATTGCCCTGGGATTTCAAGGCTAGACGATATTATGACTTGTTTTATCAGTAAATGCACTCTGGCACCAATTTTGAGCAGTACTTTTTTGCATTATCCATCAGTCGAGGGGTGGAATTATGCCTCACGAATTTCAGCTTCCTCGCTTTTCAACTCATTTGTCCGAACAAGTGACATGTAGTACCAGCATGATTTCGCCATAAAAATTGATGTAAAACGCATAATAATTTGTTGAAATATGCGTATTTTTATCTGTTTTGGTATTTTTTTTCTATTCTGGTATTTTTATTCGTGGGAATAATTTAAAATCGTGCAAAAATGTCATTGCTACCAAAAATAAAAAATAAAATCCGATAGGCTGGACATGTTGCTGATCTTGCCAAAAACCGGTGGACATCGCGCATTAGTAAGTAGTACTTGCAAAAAAAGCAAACGACCGCTCCGGCATTTTCTGAAAAGATTTGTGTGCACATAATAGCCGGGTGACGGACAATCGCTGGAGACGTGCAATCCGAAGGGCCTAGCACAGCTGCCACGGCGTAGAGGAGCGCGGGGTAAATTGTCATTCCCCTAAGATTTCAGCATTCTACCATCCCAAATCCCTGAGTTATGAACTCACCCAGTAACATGGGATACCCGCACTTATAACCTGGGTGATCTCGGCTTTTTTGGTTAAAAAAAATGATATTTTTTCATATTCAGCTAATTGCTGTAAGTTTTGCGCAAATCAAAACATTTAATAAATTTGTTACTTGGATCTCACCAACAAGGCAGCTGGCAGCAATGCTCTAACCAGTTCTGCATTATGTGTAGGTCACTCTGCTGGTCATCCTGACAACTCGTCTTTTTTCATGGATGCAACACTATTAGACCAAGGATTCTCACGACTAAAGCATTTGTACTGGTTTTAGCCACTGTTGAAATGTTCTCAGTATGTGTGTTTGTGTGTGTATGTGTTGTGTTGTGTGTGTGTGTGCGTGTGTGTATGTTGTATATATATATATATATATATATATATATATGTGTATGCGTGTGTTACGCCAAATACTAGCATACGCCAAATTCTGCCATTCTATGCCAGAATGAACTTACAAAATTTTTAAACATTTCATCGTTTCTTGTTTTAATTGATTATTTGCACTTATGAAACTTGTGGATATTGTGTTCTAGTAAGTGGTGCCTGAAAGACTACTCGGGCGGCCTTGAAGTATTGGTACACATGCCACTGTGTTTTTGTGCCTTCTGTGTTTCGCTTCTTATTGTATCAAGTGCATGAAATGTGTGCATGTAAGTGTATATGTGTCCTGCTTGACGACTGAATAAAATATTGAAGTGTGAAATCGAAATAGGGGTTTGTTGGGGGTTTATAAGAGCAGAATCAAAGGGCCTGGCATAGCTGCACCTGATGCATGGGGGCATTAGCACGGTATTGAATATGTACATTGATGTTCGAACAGTTTCAATATTGTTGGTATTTTTATGCGTTTTTAGCAGCTATGCAATGCAGGAAACGCATATTGACGAGGGGTTGCCTGTGTGTGTGTGTGTGTGTGTGTCTGTGTGTGCGTCTGTCACGGTTTTTCATCTCAAGACCTACAAAAGCTACAGGGCTGAAACTTTGGAAACTTGATCAAAATGCATGTACGGGCCACAATCCCCAAAATTGGCGCCATTACCCGCGTGTACCCGCGTACGGGCCCGCCAAAGTTTTTTTCGGGAAAGTTCATAACTCGGGGATCTGAGAAGCTAGAAAAATGAAATCTTAGGAGGATATTCCCCATCCAAGTGGGTATTAGTGGGCTCAAACCCAGCCCTCGGGTAAGCGTGGTACTCACATACGAGCCTGCCAAATTTCGAGCAAGTTGATAACTCAAGTACTTCAGAAGCTAAAGGACTGTAATTTTAAGAGGATATACCTCGTCCACCTAAGTTTCGTTCAGCTCAAACCTAACTCTTGGGTATGCGTAGTAAACACGCACGGGCCCATAAAAACTTTTTTCCAGTAAGTTGCTAACTGGGGAGCCAGGGAAGCTAGAAAGCTGAAATTTTAAGGGGGTGCTTTCTGACAGTTCTGGCGGCCAGTCTTAATTTGTTTAGCTAGAAGCGTTTGCAGAAAAAGCCGGTGCCGGTAGTAACAAAAACTGCGGGGAACTATGCAAACCCAGGCTGAAACGCACCAGACGAGCCGGTGCGAACATACGTTTTTGCACCAGAGTTGAAATAATTTGGTTAATTGCATGAGTGGTTGTTTTTCTTTACACCTACCTTGTGCTCTCAATACCGTGACTCATCGTAAATTTTGCACAAAAGAAAATAAACAATATCCGTTTAGCGGTAGTTTTTTGGAAATGGCTCAGCCGTTCAATGAGTAATTTCCCGCCAAAAATTTAAGTGCCTGTGCGCGAGAGCCGCGTACGCCTGGGGGCTGAATTTGATAACTTTAAGTCGTAAGTGGTTTGGGAACATTCCCTGAAAATTTCAGCTTCCCGTCTTAACTAATTCCCGAGTTAGCCATTTTCCCGCCGAAAAATCTCACGGGGCCGTGCGTGGAAACCACGCGCACCTGGG